TGTGTAGTAGTCCGCACAGTCTCCCCTGCAACTGCACAATCACCTGTAGCAGCAGCTGCAGCAGCCTGTACTTGCAACGCACACAGTAATCCACGACAGGTACCGCAACAACCCTGCAACCGCACGATAGCTCAACTACTACTGCTGTCACCGACGGGGCAGCCACCGCGTGTGCAGCAGGTAAGGCTTCAGGCTCAGGTACGTACTTCCTCCCCCTGTTTTCCCTCTTTGCCAACACCCACCGGACATCCGCTGAGCCTCCAGGCTCGCAGCCGGCCTCACCCCACTGTTGTTGACCAGGTAGGCGCCGCACGGGGTAGCAGGTAGGCCTCAGCCCCGCAGTTATCGGTTCCTCCTACGCATAGACATTCGTCATCACCTATAGGCAACTCAGGTATTCCGAGCCGAGCACCGCCTCACTCCCCGCTACTCCGTCCTCATCACGAGCCTTACCCCGGTCAAACAGGTAGGCCCTCAATCCCTGCGGCTGGCTTTACACCAGTACCGCGAATGAATCTGCCGCATGAATACGGCTAGGTCCACGCCTTCCCCCCACACGTGCAGCAAGGTAAGGAGAGCTACGTTGACCGATCGTACGAGGACACACTCGCCACAGGTAAGTTTTCGACCCCACGCCCGACCGCACGCTACTTCCACCTTTAGGATGGACCAAATTGAATGTATCTTCCACCAGAACGTGGGGAGATACCTTACCATATTTCCTGCAGCATAGTCACGCAGCCGCTGCCACTCGAATCGGTCAAACACTGCCCCGATCGAATTTCTGAGGCGGCCAAACACCTCGGAGTCATCAAACACCCTTATTTTGATCCTTCCCCCGTCCAATTTCGACGAGGAACGGGCAAGTTACCTCCCTTCCGCCCCGCTATACCCACCATCGTCACCGACTTCGCGCTTCCCGCTTCTGTTCTAGCCCCCAACTCGCTACTCTCCCGCCAAAACCGACTTCGCCAAAGTACTCGCCCACCCTCAAAACGTCGGAGTAGCACCTTCCCCTACCCCCTTTTACTCCATAGTTAGGTAAGCTAAGCTATCCCCTCCTTTCTTCCTCCACCCCCGACCATCTCCATCGCGGCCTCTTCTTCTTCTCCCTGTCCATACACTAACTCCCTTCCCATTCTAACTGTATTCTCGGGATCGCCCATCCCGAAACCCTCACCGCGCACCTTTCCCCGCCTAAAACGAACGCGGAACGGGTGAGTTACGAACTCAGCCCTTCGCCATGGTCACTCCTCCCTTACCCCGCATGCACCCTGCGCCGCGCGTCGTCTAGGTTCGTTCGCCCATTCCTCTTCCACTTCGTCCCCAGCTCCGACCGCGCCTTGCCCCAATGCGTGCCCAGCCTCACCTGCGCTTTCCCGCTGGCTCA